GAACATACATGCCTAAAACTACATCTAAATCCATGTAAGTTTAGAACTGCAATCCAAAAAAGGTGAGCAGTGTGTCTGCCTCCATCCTCTCTCCCCCTTTGCTTTAAAAGACAAAAAAACCTCTGTACGGTATCTGCAGAATAGCTGTAGATACTTATACTGGGAGACAATTTTAGCTTTTGATCCCATATGGACAGAGGTGTCTGACTGCAGTCCTGAGAAAGATGCCTGCCTAACTTCTGCAGATTGGGATTTTATATACCTCTCTGTACTTCACAATTCTTGTTAGCTAGTTCTCAGAGGCTCCCTGCTCAACATCTGTCCCTCATCACTATGAGGCACCCAACTCTCCCTGTGTACTACAGGAAGCCTAAGCTTCTCATACAGGATTCTGTATTCTGTTAATGCCTAACATGTAAGTGCCTCAATCCTGTTTTTGGATCTGTTCTTTAGACTTCAGACTGATATTGATATTAGCTGTTCACAATTTCAGTGTCTGAAGGACATACTTTAACAATGTGACTCACCTCCTCTCAAATAATTTGTTGGGATTTTCAAAACAGCTCACCGACTCAGTTGTTTTCAATAGAAGTAGCTAGACCAATGTTGGTACTTTTGAAAATCTGCCCCTTACACCTTTACCGTTTCAAGTAGACCCTCTTTTCACCCCTCCCAAAAAAGAGATTCTCAAAAAAGCAGCCCGAAATCTAGTTATATTATAATATTATTAGATTATTTGGAAAACTTGACATGCTCCCCTCAAAGACAACAAACTTTTGATAGACTTCCCACTTTACCACAAATGCTCCTAGCTTGATTTGATACATTAGAAAAATGGTCTGGTTGAGAATGTCAAGAGTCAAGCAGTTAGACATTAATAAAACTAGCAAAGATGGAGACAAGCACAGAAACTGTAAGGTATGAAAGGAACTAGCTACAAAAACCCCACAGCAATGGCCAGTGATGAAAGGGGAAGTATCACTTGGAAGGAGATTACTAGTAGAATTCTTAAGGACTGGTCTTGAGGCTGACCTTGATTAATATTAATTAAGAACTTGGGCAAAGAAGTATTTTACTGATGACAAAGCAAGAGGCATTGTTAATACAGAGGAAGTCCAGGACACTATACAAAACAAAATGGATGACCTTGAAGACTGGAGTAAAAGAAACAGGATGAAACTCAACAGTATAAAATGTAAGGTCATGCACTTGGATATCAATAAGAATTTCTGCTATAAGCCTGAACTTGTGGGATGGATCCTTCATAATGGACGGCCATAGCAACAGCAGGGACAGTGGCAGTGGCATGGTTGAAGAAGCTTTTCTTTTCCAGTATCATTGCATCTGCAAAATGCTGTCCAATGGAACTGATCTGCATGGCACACGGCCTGGTTAATCCAAATGGTCTTCACCTAGAAACCGAGTCTTCTACAGTCCACTGCAATGAGTTTGCTCCCTACTTTGCAGACAAAATTGCCCATATCCAGCACAGCACTTTTGCTGCAGAGTCAGAATTCAGGGTTGAGGGCTGGGATGTGAACAGCTAAACAACTGTTTAGCTGATAAGCCCAGTGAGAACAAGTTAGCTTACCAGTTATCGTTTTGCACAGGGTGGGTTACAATCTAGCAATGAAGAGAAGCTGCACAGTGCCCCAGCAGAGACCAGAAGGCAGCAAGGCAGGCAGGAGGGAAGAGAGTATTGAGGGGAAGAGGGAGGGAGGGAGGCTAGTACCTGTAGCTAGGCTCTGCAGCCCCTGGTGTAGCCACCAAGCCACCTGCCACAAGCAACCCAGGCTCTGGGCAGGCACCTGCTATCCACCACAGAGCCCAGCCTGCTTGCAAGAGGCAGCTGGGAGGCAGCAAATGGCTATACTGGGCCTGGTCCACAGAGCCTAACTACTAGGTACGAGTCCCCCTTTTCCCCCTACTTTGCTGTCTAAAAGGCATCTCAGCTCCCTCTCTGGGCAGCAAGATGCAGTACCTTCAGTTGCTGCAATTGCCACTGCAGCACCCGGTGGCACCAACACACACCCACTAGCCAGACCTGCAGAGGCGGCAGGGCCTGATAGGAGCAAGATGGAGGTAAGGGAGCGCAGGGCAGCTCCCCTGGGCCTGTGGCTCAGCTCCATGGTGTGCCCCGCCAGCCCACCTGGCTCATCATGAGGTGTGGCCCTGAGGAACCAGGGCTCCAGGGAGCCACTGAGTCTCTGCCACAACTCAGGGGGCTGGAAGTGCCCAGCTGGTCCTAGGCTGAGCAGGACAGCTATGCAGGCCAGGCTGAAGCAGTGTCACAAGAGCCAAGCAAGGGGGGTGTCATACCGATTAATCGTTTAACCATTGTAATTACAACAGGTTAAATGGATTACTTTTAAGATCGGTAATTACATCCCTAGTTGTGGAAAGCTCAGTCTTGTCACGTGTATATGGATCAGTTGCAATTGCTGCTGTCCACTGATGCAGAGGATTTGCTTGGGTCGAGGGGCAGAATAGGAGAGGGGGTAACCAGTTGTCAATTGGACCTGCGCCCAACCTGACTTATAAAAGCTAGCCAAGGGAGCCTGGGACCATTGCTGACAGAGGTTGTCAACCCCCTCCAGAACCTAGGAGGGGAGTGCCAGATGTTAAGTTTGTGACTGCCTGGCTGACTCTCAAGAAACTGTCATATGATGCTAGTTATTACCCACTGCCAACTTCCATTTTTTAGGGAAGGTCACTGAATGGATGGTTTCTTAACAGGTATATCTGGATGCTATTGGATTCCTGGATGCTATTGGATTCCTGGATCCAGTCTGGCTTTCAACCTTGATACAGCGTGGAAATTGCACTTTTGGCCTTGGTCGACAATCTTCATTTGGAGAGTGTCAGGGGAAACTGTGTTCTGCTGATCTTACTTGATCTATCAGCAGCCTTTAGAACAATATATTAGGGGTTCCCAACCTTTTTAGGCTGAGGACTGGCAAGCCAGGGACTGGAAGTGACCGCGGACCGGCAAGCTGTGGACCACCAGTTACCGGCATACTGTGGGCAGGTAGCCAACCCTTTTTTATACTCAATGTAAAAAAAGGTTGGCTGCCGGTCCACAGTATACTGGTCACTTCCAGTCTGCAGTTTGCCAGTCTGCGGTCACTTCTGGCCCGGCAGCCAGCCAGCCCTCCTGCGGACTGATGCTGGGCTGTGGCCTGGGGGTTGGGAACTCCTGCAATATATCATGAGGTGCAGATAAAAGCAATTACCTGACCTGGCAGGTATACATGAGACCCATCTAAACTGGTTTCACTCTTTCCTGGAAGGGAGGTCTCAGAAGGTGGTGATAGGCAAGTGCTCATTGTCCCCCCACAACCTTCTCTGGAAGATCCCCCAGGACTTCATCTTGCTGCCACTCCTGTTCAACATGCATCTCAGGCTGCTGGATGAGATTGTGCAGAGGCCTGGGGTGAGTTGTCATTAGTATGCTAGTAACACACCCAGCTCTCTCTCATCTGATCTGGACCTCACAAGTCTCAGCCTTTTCCCAGCACATCTGGGGATTGGAAGTGGGTGAACCAGTTGAAGCTGAAACCAGACAGATTACAGTGGGCAGAAAACCTGACTTGGGGAGACTGGGACACCTATATTGATGGGGTTCAGCCTCCACTTGTACCTTTCACTAACTCTGTCTGCTGAGAAGGCCATAACCCTTTCTTACAAATTTGGATCTGGCCACCATTATCAATGCCTTCATAACCTCATTGCTAGTCTACTGCAATACTCTCTTCCCTTGAAGACCCTTTAGAAGCTGCAACTGATGCAGAACACATTACCACATCTTCTGACAGGAACGGTCCCCAGGAGCACATATCTCCAGTATTCCTGAGTCTGTACTGACTTCCAACAGTTTTCCAGATGCACAGCAAGGTTTTAACCTATAAGGACCTGTTTCCTTATGCCCTATTGCAATCCCTATGGTCAACCAAGAGCAATCTCTGGCAAGCACCATCAATGAAACAAGTTGGGGTGGCAAAAACACATGGGAGGGCATTCTCAATAGTTGTTCCTCAGCCTTAGAAGACACACCCCACCTTCAGGCTCTCTAGAGCCCAAGCACAGAAATCTTTTCAAAATGCTATAAGACTTTCCCTATCTTGGTAGGCAATTAGCAAGCAAGATTAAACTGGAATACTGGGGGGAGGGAGGGGAATGTTTTATATTTTTAATATTCTACTTGCTTTTATATATTATTCTGTTCTCGTCTGTCTTTTGTTTGATAAATTATTTTATTACTTTGAGCTATCCTGAGCCTTTGTTGGCAAGGGTGGCACAAACAAACGAAGTTTGGAGATCACATAATGGAAAGGCATGAAGTAGAGACCTGGATATATACGTCAAATATAATAGCACTATAAATCAATCAATGTGATGCAGCTGTGAAATGAGCAAATACAATCCTAGGGTGTATCAGGCAAAGTATTTCTAGTAGAAACAGGGAGGTATTCATAACATTGTAGAAAGAACTGATATAATCTCAGCTGGAATAATACTGTATGCAATTCCAGTCCCTCAAATTCAAGAAAAATGAATTAAAAGTAAACAGATGTAGAAGAGGATTCTCAGAATGACTGGGGAAATGGAGAGTCAGAGGATATTAGAACAGCATGGTTAGTCTAGTCCGGCAACACAAAGGCTGAAGGTGGATATGAATGCTGTCCATAAATATATTCAGGAGGGTAAACACTCAGGAGCAGAAGAGAAGAGCTTTTTAAGCTGGAGAGAAAGGTGGCATAAGAAACATGGGTATAAAACTGACCATGAATTAATTTAGGCTAGAAATGAGAAGATTCCTAACCATAAAGGACAGTAGCATTCTGCAATGGTGTTCCACTTCTAAAGAAAGCCTGACCACCAGTTTATGAAAAGAAGAATCTGATGTGCTGTTTGTGAGAGGGGCTGTCAGGATCATCCAAGAGATCTTTTCTAGCTCTATGTTCTCCATTTATTCAAGACAGAAAAGACAGAGAACCTGTCTGCCAATATGTAGAAAAGTATTTTTTTTCCCCAGTTGACAAGACATGTGACTCAAAGATACCCTGAGGTCTGTTTAACTCACTTTTATTGAAGAATTTGCAGACTCAAGTCTTACTAAAAATATTTAGCAGAAAAGTGCTACATGTACTTATACATGTTTATGTTAAATACCATGGCATTTTGAATCACATTATCTCAGTGCCAACTGGACTTCATACTGAAGATAAAGAATTGTCCCTTCTCCTGGAAACTGCATTTTGGTGGATGCTCAACTCTAAAATTCACTTCTTCAGAAAAGCAATTATTTCAACATCTACTTCCGAGATGCATTGCAAACACACCGCTGTACTATTATAGAAAATGTTCTATGGTGAATTTACCTTGCCAATATCTAACATGTCATTGTAGCTGAGAAGGGCCACAGGAATATCAATCTCTTCATACTGACTCCGATTACCTCCTGGAGGAACCTGAAAGTCAGAAACAACTGGGTAAGAACAGAATCTCTAACTGGATTTTTTTAACAGAGGATTAAAGACTTGAGCTGCATTTCCAACATTTGGAAGAGATTCTGAAAATAACAAGACATAACAATCTTCTGGCATTATTACTAAAAGGAAAAAATAACTGAGCACATTAATTAAGGGGGAGGGGGGGGTCAGCAGACATAACACTTATTACATGCTGAGGCTTAAAAGCATAATAAAATTGAGTGGATAGATGATGCACAGTGATATTACAGCATCATTTAGACCTCTTTGTATCAAAAACAACCCGGATAAATCATGGATAACTCTGATATGGAAAACAACAACTTATTTCAGGTTACATCTGCCTTCTACCCCAACAGGATTAATTAGCTCCACATTAACACAGTGCTTAGTTTCCCCCATGAGGCAGCCTCTCCAGGTCCCAATCACAATTCTACTGCTCTGGGATCATGAGCACAATAGATGTGACCTGTCTTTTATAAATCAGGTTTGCAAGTAAGCTGTTGCCATTTGGTGGGGGACCACTATCCTTCCAATTTGGCTTTTCCAAACAGATTCACTCAGTTCTTAATTTCTTCTCCATTGCAGGGGAGAGGGAAACCAAGGAATCTGCAGGTTGCCATCTGATGTTTAGTGAGTGACAAAGGCCAAGGTTCTAAAGTCCCAATACAAGAGGGAGCAGGATACTAATCAGTTTTCAGGCACCAGGTGGACAACATGATCTTACTATAAAAGAACTATCGCAGATCCTGACCTGAAACACCTCTATCAAGCTGTGCTTTGTTGCTGCCTCAGGGGCAGATCCTAGGCAATCTGAGAAGGGCAATGGGGGAAAGAAGAGGAGGAGAACCATAATCAGCCCCAGAATAGGCTCTTAAACAGGCCCAACCAGAGTCCCAGAATGAAAGGTTTGGAAGATCCAAGCCTGCATTCTCTCAGCATCATGGCCTGAGTGAAGGGGAGAGGTTGAACCATCAGGCTCAGAGTGTAGTAATCAATGGCTCGATGTCTAGTTGGCAGCCAGTATCAAGTGGAGTGTCCCAGGAATTGGTCCTGGGTCCAATTTTGTTCAATATCTTCATCAGTGACCTGGAAGATGGCATAGAGTGCACCCTCAACAAGTCTACAGATGACACCAAGCTGGGGGGAGTAGTAGATACACTGAAGGGTAAGGTTAGGGTTCAGAGTGACCTAGACAAATTGGAGGATTGGGCAAAAAGGAATCTCATGAGGTTCAACAAGGACAAGTGCAAAGTCCTGCACTTAGGATGGAACAATGCCATGAACCGGTACAGGCTGGGGGCTGGCTGGCTGGGCAAAAGCTCTGCAAAAAAGGCCCTGAGGGCTACAGTGGACAATAAGCTAAATAAGAGCCAGCAGTGTGCCCTTGTTACAAAGACGGCTAACATCATACTGGGCTGCATTGGCAGGTGTGTTGCCAGCAGGTCAAGGGAAATGATTCTGAGGTCCCTTCCAACCCTAATTTTTTATGAATCCTGCGTGCCCAGCTACAGAATCTACTGATGAATGGCAATTTATCAAAGCTACAGCATCTTCTCTAAAATGCCACCCAGTTCTCCACCCATCTCCAAACACTGCTTGCACCCCCTGTGTGTCCAAGGTGATGGCAACCCTTGTTGGCAGGCATTCCCAGCCAGGGGTGGGGGGAAATGAGTTTGCTCATCTTACCATTCTGTGTCAAAATGGCACTGACAAGGTGTGCAGTGTGCAAGTCCACTGCCAGTAAACATTTCTACTTAGGGGAGCTGCAAGTGAAAACATTCAGGCCCCATGTCTGAGAGTAGTTATAGATTGGGGGGGGGGTGAGGTCACAACTAGTCTTCACCTGGTTCACCCTTCAAAACTAGTCTTCACCTTTTTATGGTCACTACTGGTGATCCTGAAAATGAGAACTTGCCAGACCTCCATGGCTGCTACTGTGGTCAGTATTGTGGAGCTTTCAAAGGAAATTTTTCTGGAACACTGTTTGAAGGCATTCGAAGTGGGCATGGGTAAAACCTGTTAGCATCTTACAGCTTTCAGCTTCTTTATGGCACTAGAGACAAATTTAACCGATACCTTTCTTTGCTTTGGGACATTCAGAGTTTGCTTTGGGACATTCAGAGTTTGTGGAGTTTCAAAAACCATTTATACCTTCTGTGTGTCAGTTATCCAGGTTGTAACTGTACTGATTTAGAGGAAAAGGCAATCAGGACTCATAGTAGACATGATAATTTTTATTAGACCAACAAGATTTTTGCAAATAAGTGTCTTTAATTGCAAGCTTTCGGACACAAACACCCTTCATCAGTCATTGGAGAAAAGATTGTAAAAGTTCTCCTGGGTAGAAAAGAAAGTTCATATGTCATAGGATTTCACAGAGGAGTCAACAGATGGAAAACTCCTCTGGGCAGTCTGCCCAGAGGAGCCTTCTGAACTGACTGCCCAGCAAGTTTTCCATCCAGGAGAACTTTTACAATCCTTTCTCCAATGCCTGATGAAGGGTGTTTGTGCCCGAAAGCTTGCAATTAAAGAATTTTTTTTTTGAAAAAATCTCATTGGTCTAATAAAAGATCTCTCTACTACGAGTTCTGATTGCCGTTTATACCTCCCAGCTTTCAGCCTACACGTAGTCATTGTTGTTGTGGGGCTTACATTTCATTTAAGAAGCCTTTTCTTTTTTTGACTATGCATAAGGAGGTCATCCCCTCCCACTGACCTCTCAACCCCCTCCTCCCTTCCCCCACTCCCACCTGCAAAGGAAGCCAATGAGCTAGGAGGGAAAGAAAACTAACGAGCAGGATTGCACTGTACTTCCTCTATACCAGTGCTTCTCAACCTGTGGGTCGTGACCCATAAGTAGGTCACAAGAATATATGAAAGGGCCACAAACAAACGTTAAAAATGGATCAACAAACTTTAAAAATAGATTCTCCTTTAGAGGCGAAAAACATTGGAAACTGTGACTTTTCCCTTGGAGTCTAGCAAAGTTCCAGCCTGCAAGGGGCTGCTTGGGGCCCCCCATGCCCTACATATACCCCACTACCTCACACACCCAACCCCTGTCCCACACACTGGGGAAGGTAGGACCTGGGGATGGGGGGCAGCAGGTGAAGGGCAAAGTAGGGACAGGCCATTGACGTTTATGAACGGGTCCTGGTACAAAAAAGGTTGAGAACCATTGCTCTGTACTACCCCTCCTGTTGGCTGATCTTGTATGTGAAAAAATACAGCAGTCACAATGATACCCCTTTCCCTGTCATGTTGCAACCTTTATCCCAGAGAACCTTCAAGTCTATTTTGTGATAGGGTCCTGGAAACAGACATTCTCCCCTCGCAAAAAGTGAACAGCAACACAGAGAAAATGGAGAGCAAAAGTTCTGTTATTCATTACTATCACAAAAAATCTCCCTTCCCTCACCAACGGGGTAACACTTAAAGCACTAACAGAGAACCCAAGCTAGATTTTAAATGAAATATAAAACACAAATTATTAAAATCTCCTCTCAAAGAGTGGTTGTGAGTTTGTAATGCATGATGCATAAAGAATGAAAATACAGAAAAGTACACCCAAGGCAAATAATATCCAAAGTTTACATGTTACAAAAGCTGCAAAATTCGTACACAGGAATCTGTAGCCTGGTCACCCAACAAGATGATATTCTGCTGTGGTTTTCTATAACAGTACTGTCCCCCATCCCAGAGGCAAGCACCTTGAAGAAAGCTGGCAGAAAGATATCAAAGGGACAACTGGTTTCTGGAGCTATATGGACTTCTACAGACTGATCTGAGTGGTGATGCAGCAAACAGTGAAGGAGCCCGAGACCTAAGCCACTGATGGATATTACAGTTAAACCAAGATCAACTGTTTTATCACATCCTACATAGTGACCTGGCCACATAGTTAGTCAACTAACGGTGTGATAAAATGAGGAACAAGCCGCAACGTTATTGCACAAAATGTGTAATAACTTAGTGATTGGTTCCTAGCAATTTAATTGAACAGTGTCCAGCTTCTGGTGCACAGGGAACCCTTTCAAGACTCCCATATGTTCTAGAGGCTGGGAACACCACTCAGCTAACTGGGGCTCCTAGCTAGGGGAAATGCACCATGTGCTCCCATGGCTGGGAGCTCTGGTTAGATGACTAGAGCTTCCAAGCTGGGAAATGGAGGAAGAGAAGCTTGCTACTTGATCAAGATTGAGCTCCCCCTGCACTGGTGATAAGGCACAATGGGATCTAATGTGGAATCCTACATTGTGCCTCCTGCCATGCACATGTGACATGGCTAGAAGTGCAACTGTTGGGGTCCTGCATCAGATCCCATAGTGCCTTTACTTTAAGGTATATCAGAGGCCCTAGCGGAGTATATTTAATAATCAGATAAATCCCACTACACTCCATGCATGGTAAGCACCAGAGACCCGTGCTCATTTCTATCCTTACAAACAATATCAAGCAGAAAGATTTAGGAAGGAAAATGGTATAAACCTGAGAAAAAACACAGTATAATCTAAGCATCCCCCCATGACCTTGAATCACATTCTTCATCCAAGTGCACACAATTCTAGGGAATACCCCAAACCTAATTCCCCTCAATAAAGGAACTTTGTTTTTAAGCTTTGAACAGCATTCATTTGGTTTACTGTAAAACCAAAAAAGACAAGCTTGTTAAACGAGACATGCATTGTCTTTTTTGATACAGTTTTACACCAATGCCCAGGGATCTGGGTTTCCCATTTGCTGCAGAAAAATGCAAATTTTCCCCTTTAAAGGAGAAAAATGCAGGAAGCTGAAGGTTTCCCCTTGCAGGCTGTCAGAGTTCCAGCCTACAAGGGGCTGGAGGAAGGTGATAAGAGGCAGGGAGCACCATGTGCATGCGCACGTGCACACACATGCGCACGGCTGGCAATACAGCCCCAGCAACCATGGTGAAGAGCAGCTCCCATAGCTGCCTTTAGGCAAGTTGGGAATGGAGGGGGCGGCATAGGCCATGTGTGGGAGGTGGGAACAGGCACAACCTGTGAGGAGATTGAGGCAGCAGCTTATGCAGAGCCCACACAATGAGGGAGGGAGTGGGGCGGGGTTGGTGGCTGGGGGCACTGCCCAGCCAGGGTAGTGGGCGGTGGCCAGGTGGAAATGCGTGGCCCAGTTGTGGAGTGGGATGGAGCCACAGGCAGCTTGGCTAGGGTGGCTCCCTGCTGCTATGCACACTCACGGGGAGGGGTCAGGTGCCAGAGCTGACATGTTGGAGGGTAGGGTGGTAAAGTGTCTCTCCAGATTTCTGCACCCACAGCAGGGCTGCAGCCCGGCTAGACCAGCACTGGGCAGAAGCCACTTCCATAGCTAGTGCAGGAGGACAGACCAGGGCAGTGAAACTCATTGCTGCTGTTGCCACTGCAAGCCCTGCGTCAACTATGCTACCATGGGTGCCAAAGCAAGGTGCCCCCTGCTTGCCACCACAATAGGGGCAGCTTGTGCCTCCCCACTGTGGTGGAGGGCAGGGGACACCTCACCATGGCAGTGCAGCTGGTGCAGATTTGTGGCAGCAGCAGCAATGAGTCTCACTGCCCCACACCACGCTCCAACACTGGTTTCTGCCCTTTAGGATGCGAAGGCAGTTCCTGCTGGTTCAGCCAGGTTGCAATCCTGTGCCCTACTGGGTGTAGAAATCTGGAGGGAGGCAAATGTCTCCCTGTGCTCCACCCCCCACCCCAACATGTCATCTATGGTTGGGTGCCTCCCCCTACACACATACACACCTGGGACCTGGGGGTGGTGGGCAGCTGTACCCCCACAGCAGGGCTGCAGGTCAGGAATGAGAAGCACCCCAGGCTTGCTGCTGTCTCCTCTGCTCCTGGCCAACGTGAGGTGGGGCCCTGTCCTGGGGTGCTGGGATGCCTCTGCTACCAGCCATGATGCCCTAGGCAGTAGCCCTTGCTGCCCACCCTGAGGCCAGTTCTGTCTGGAAGTCATGGCTTAGAAGTGAGGGGCACCTGTGTATCAGGGCTGCTCAATGCCAAAAACCAGTGGAGGGGACAGCCACAGCTGTCTAACATATTCTGGTGAGTGGAGGGGGCAGGAGGAGCTCTGATTTTCCATGATTTAAAAAAAAAAAAAAAAAATGCCAAAATATATAGGTATTTAGAATTAATTTTATATGAATCTATTATAATGACTGAAACATTGGTAAACTTCCAAATTGCAAATATATCAGTAAAACATCATGCTCGACTGATATCTATATAGATAGTGACGTTTCATTTTAATGATGGAAAAAAGTGGATTTGGGGATTGGTTTGGTTTTTGTTTTTTGTTTTTTTTAAAATCAGAGCATTTTGGATTTAACAGAGAAAACCAAGATTCCTGCTGATGTCCTATCCTCTTGGCCAGCACCTTGGCAGTGTTAGAAACAGTTTTCCATGATGTCTCTCATGAGAAGGGCTTGCCAGCTGTCACTCGAAAGATGCTGTTTCTGCAGTTTGATACCTACTTGCAAGCCTCTGTGTCTTGCTTCAAATCACCAGGCTTCTACAACAGATTCCCCACTGGCCTCACCTATATTGTATTTAGGCAAATCCAAAACAACTCAGACTTCAAGACAACCCCCTGATAATTAGATTCTATACATAAAGAAATTGATAAATTTGTTATAATTTTCTAAGAACAGATCCTAAATATAGGAGGGTCATCTTAAATTTGTCCTCACCCCACCACTACAGCAGGGAAAGCAGTGGAGGAAGTGGTAGGGAAGGCACTAATGAGACAAGGGGTCAAGCAGCCTGGCTCCTATCCCTCCCCGCTTGCCCCCATTCTCCCCTACTTCATTCATTCATTCATAGAAAAATAGGGATAGAGGGGACCTCAGAAGGTCACCTAGTCCAAACCCCTGCTCAAAGCAGGACTATCCCCACCGAGATCATCTCAGCCAAAGCTTTGACTAGCTAGGTCTTAAAAACCTCCGAGGATGCAGAGTCCACAACCTCTTGGGGTAACCTGTTCTCCAGTGCTTTACTACCCTCTCAGTGAAAAAGTTTCTCCTAGTATCTAACTTAAACCTCCCTTGCTGCAACTTGAGACCACTGCTCCTAGTTCTGTTATCTGCAAGGATCCAGGTTTTCCTTTTCCCATGGAAAAATGGAAAAAACAATGGATTTTCCCTTTTACCAAAGAAAAACATGGATTTTTCATTTTAACAGAGAAACATGTGGATTTTGCTCTTTTGCAAAGAGCTCTGTACAGGTTGGCAGAGCTCCAGCCAGGGGGAGAGGGAAGAGGCATTCAGACAGGGGGTGCCAAGTGTACTTACATGCAAATAGCTGCCAGTCAGGCTAGAGAGCAGCTCCTGCAGTCAAGTCTGGCAGGGGGGAGGGAGAAACAACTGAGGCTCCCATACAGAGGGAGTTGGGCAGGACTAGGGTTGGGGCTGGGGCTGCTGCCCAGCCAGGCGGTGTGTAGGGCTTGGGCCCACAAGCAGCCACAGGGCACCAGTGGGGAGCAGGACAGGGTGGCTCATCAGGGGGGGCAGGGGGCTAGCTCCCCACCGCTGCATGCACTCTGAGGGGGGTGGCACACACATACCCCCCAGATCTGTGCATGGGGCAGGGTGGGTGAGGGCTGCCTGCTGCAGGTTCAGGTTCCCTGCCTTGCTGCCCTCCCCCAGGGCCTCCACTTTGGGGAGGACAAAGGGCACATTGCCAGGGCAGCACAGGGCTTGCAGCAGTCACAAGCTTCCCTGCCTGGCCTGCTGAGCTGCAGATGCCCCAAAGAGAGGCAGTGGGGCGGGGAGCCCAAGCCCACACCCACAACTGCCCCTTGCATAGATCTGGGTGGCATGCGACTCCCATCCCCCAGGGAGTGTATACAGTGGTAGGGAGTTGCCCCCCCCCCCCCCCCCC